TGTTGGTCTCGGGACATGATAAAACACTTATTCTTGTTGCATCTTTTTCTTGATTGTATATATAGATTATGCATAAAAATACTCACAACACATGACATGGAGAAATGACCGGCGATTCGCAAATATTAAACATTAATTCATCAATCAGTGACTAAACGCGTGCATAAAAACACTCGCAACACATGCAGAAATAACCTGCAAATGGAACAGACCACAATGAAAATGTGAAGGGGGGATTAAAATTGTATATATACGTTATAAACTGTAAAAGTTAGATATATAAGTAATAAATTGTATAGATTGTGAATCAGATTCAACGAAGATCCACTCACTGCAGAATCATCTCGATCAATCTAACTGTATGAATCATTCCTGAATAGAGATATGAAGAAGTCATCTGGGGAAATTGTTTTCATCTCACAATATATACATCACAAAATAAAAACTGATCACAGTGCTAGATTTTTCCAATATCGTGCAGCCCGAGTTTGAAAGCTTATTTAGGATGATTATACACTTGACTGACTATAAATATATTAGTGGCTTAGGTGTGTTTAGATTAGAGATGTCCAAACTCTGTCCTGGAGGGCCGGTGTCCTGCACAGTTTAGCTCCAACTTCCTTCAACACACCTGCCTGGAGCTTTCTAGTGAACCTAGAAAGAGCTTGATTAGCTGGTTCAGGTGTGTCTGATTGGGGTTGGAACTTAAATATGCAGGACAGCGGCCCTCCAGGGCTGAGTTTGAGCAGTCCTGGTTCAGACAAACTCCTACCGTGCTGTTTAGATTCATTGTGTTGCACATGCTCAGCGCCAGACAGAATCTGCGGATGCTTTTTGCCATTTCTGCTGAGAATTTTGGTAAAAATCTGTGGATTTCTGCGGAATTATTTTGGGAGTATCATTACTAAAACCTTAATTAGTGAAATAAAAAGTAACACCTTTTTAACTTTTATTTAATGTTTAAATTGCAAATCTAATTAGATTCACTTTATTTGGGTAAACAAGCAAGTTCTCTTATAATATATATATATATATATA